ACCAAAATAAATATATTAATTAAGTAGTCGGATTGATGGCATTATTTATCCGATAACTAATTATGCATAGAGGGGTCAAAGTGCAATATTAACTTAGTGGTTATTTATTATTTAATTGGAGTTCAATTAATTTCTTTTAGTGGAGTAGAAATTAATTTATGAATTAATTGAATTGGGTCCATGGACCGGGCCAATTATTAATTCATTGTAGCCAATAAAATAATAGGCCTAATGGATTCTCACTCATAGCCCAACTTGATATTGGAATCATATTAGATTTGAGACATATGAATTAGAGATTGAGAATGATTAGTTGTTTCCTTTTCTTTACTTTTATGTTGCCTATAAATATACATGGTCTATGTATATTTTTGGGGTGATTTTTAATAGAAGGAAAAAGGAATAAATATTTTCTCTCTCTAGAAAATTAGGGTTTATGTTCTCATCTAATGGAGGCTCCCACAAGCCTAATTTTCCAAGGTCATTCATGGAGGCTTATGAGTGATTCCTAAAGGCAAGACCATTACCAAGAAGATGGAGATGGAGATTTATGGAAAAGGTGTCTAGCAAAAGAGATCTACAATAAGTGAGAACATTCACTTTAGAGGAGAGATCTAAGGTTTACTCAAACCTTGATTTAAGTATTCAATCTTTTAATTGAATGATACATCATGTTTTATTTTTGCATAAAACTTGTCTCTATGTAATGAATCAAGATCTATAAATTAAAATCCCTCGAAAAGTTTTTAAAACTAGCACGTTTCCCAACATTAAGCTCTCAAACTTATAATTTGAGAGATGGGTAAAAAAAGCACTCTAAAGATCTTTCATTTAGCCTCACAAAATTTCTCTCAAATGAAAGAGCTGCCAAATTTTTTTGGCAGCTCTCTAACACTCCCCCCCCCCCCCCACACACACAATTTCAACCCAAATTCGTCTATATATATGTGTGTGCGTGTGTGTATATTTAAAAAAGATCATAAAAAATTTCACCAAATAGGATTTAGTTTGCAAAACAAGAATTACAGACCTTGATTAGATATTAAAAAATTTCACCAAATAGGATTTAGTTTGCAAAACAAGAATTACAGACCTTGATTAGTTGATTTAGAAAAAAAATTAAAACAAAACCCATACATACAATTTAGCAGTTGCAGAGAGAGAAAGGCCAAGCTTGAGAGTTGAGAGAGCAGCTGAAGCTTGCGAACGGCGAACCCAAACTGGAACAACAGGTGATGTAAACTGAAAGATATGGGTTTTTGAACAATCTGAAATGATATGCTGATATGGGTTTTGATCTTTTGATTCTTGCAGACAGGTAGATAAATTGAAATATATGGGTTTTCAACCTTCTGATTCTCGGGGGGGGGGGGGGGGGGGGGGGGGGGGAGGGCTAAAATGATTTGCCCTAAATATATATATATATATATATATATATTTATATAATAATATACTCAAATATATATAATATACATATATATATATATATAATATATGAATTTTCGAAAAAGAAAAAGAAAATATATATATATATATAAAATTATATAATAATATAATCAAATATATAAATGTATACACACACACACACACACACACACACACACACATATATATATATTGGTCCTTTTTTAATTAGATATTTTAGATTTTTGTTTCTTTTTAATTATGTTTAATTTTAGTTTTCTTCTAATATCTACAACTTGATTTGGAATGTGCTTAATATTAATGTTACTGATGCAAATATAAATAGTGGGAATGGTAATTGAAAAAGAATGGTAGTTGTGTCAAGAAATAACATTTTGTATGAAATACACCATTAAAGCAGAATTATTAAAATATAATATTTTGACACTGTAACACTTGTCAAAATATAGATTTGATAACTAAAAATAATCTTTAGCATTAAAGATGCTCTTAGGGCGCCCTTTCATCAGCCGCAACAATAGGAAAAGGGATTCCCACTCTTGTCCGACACACCTTCACAATCCACATGTATGTGTTAGACAAATGAGCAATACTTATAACACAAGTAAATGACAGAGTCAATGTTCAAGTACGTGTGTGGAGAGACCCACATGTATGTGTATGTGTATGTGTATGTGTATGTGTATGGTCGCTGTGGGGCTGAGGATTATACACCATTACACTGCTATACAAAAATCGATACGTATACATCACCATGGATGATGGCACGTGCTTGACCCCAAGACACTATCTCTCACAGACACGTCCGTAAGTGGAGACCAAAGTTGTGTAGGTATTTACTTTGTCTTTCATCTTAACCATTAATTTGAATTCTGAAAAAAATGATCGTGTGGGTGTTACTTTTTGTTTTTCTTTTAATGGTCATGGTTGTTACTTGAACGATGGATAGAGCTTGTGTTTTATTATTATTATTATTATTATTATTACTACTACTTGTGTGGTAGTAAAAAAAGTGGTATAAATGGATATTATTTCATTTCTTATTCTCATTTTTCCAAACAAATTGCTATGGGTTGTTCGTTTATTTATTTATTATTATTCTTGTTTCCCACAAATGTTGCTTAAATTGCTCTCGCTCAAGTCTCAACTACACCAAAACCAACTTCTGTGTTTGGTAATTAATTTGCACTAAAACCAATTTGTTCAAAGTTGTTGCCCTTTTTTTTTTTTTTTTTTCGGTAAATAAAGTTAATAGTTGTCGCATTTTGTATCTCGTGGAGTAACATATTTAATTTCAACTACCACCATAAATATATGGTAACCGTGAGGAGAAACAGAGAGAGTGTACATGCAGTGACGGATCCAAAAAATTTGGTGAGGGGGGGCGAATTTTTAATTTGTGGGTACAAAATTATATGATGGGTTCATTTTTGTAATTTTAATAGGTTTTTTTCATAAATTTTTAAAAAAATTTAAGTATAAAATGAAAAAAAAAAAAAAATCAGTGGGACAAATTATAATTATAGTGGGGGCATCTTCATAAATTATCAAAATTTGAAGTATAAAATGCTAAAAAAAAAGAGAATCCAGTGGGGATGAATTGTAATTTTAGGGGGGGCATTTTCATAAATTTTAAAAACATTAAGGTATAAAATAAAAATATTGTCCCATGCTGGGTCCGTCCCTGTGTACATGCATGCAATTTCTTCCTAATAAAACAATATGACATTACATCTGTAATATAATATATATATATATATATATATATAGCAATGGTCTAATAGACTTATAGTGTTGTTGGGAAATTATTAACGAGTATAATAATGGTCTAGCGATTTTGTTATTATAAAAAACGAGAATTATTTTACAAATACCTTAGGTTAAGAAGTTAGAATTGGTGTAGCCTTAATATTTATATCCTCCTAACATTTTATTTTATGTTTATGGCATATATTTATCACTATCTATATTATTCCAAAAAAAAGTTACGAAGCATAAATTTATATCTATTTCATAATTTGACTTCGGAAATAAATTTAATAAAAATGTCACTATTCTGAACAATCAATTTTAAAAAGGACCAAATATAATACCCCCAAAAAAATATGAATGCCAATCTACCACCCAAAAAGGTCATATATCTATAGTAACTTATCAACTTTCTTTCTATTGGAGGTTTTTTTTTTTTTTTTTTGAAAAGTGAAATTAAATTTTATATAAAATAAAGGCGAAGGGTTACAACAATAGGCAATATAAAGCAGTTAGCCCAGCTAACTCCTAGTATAAGGCCCAAAGCCCAACCCAACAATTGATTTGCCTAGCCCAATATAGGCCCAAGGTTCCGATTGGAGGTTGAGAGCAATGAGATGGTTCAAAACATTTAGAACAAAGTTAGTGTGTAATTAATGTTTGAAAAATAATAAATAAAAATAAAAATAAAAACTGTGAGTGACTACGTGGTTTAACGTGACTTCCTTTAGTGAACCATTAATTCAATAAGGTGATGATAAAAATGTCGCATCTTTTTCAAAACAAAACTTTACACCAGACTCATATAAATTAAATTTAATAATTACTGAAAGCGGTCTTTAAAATATTATTTATTTTTAAATTTTAAAATTAAATAGATTCTTAAAAATGCTTTCGTGGCCTACTTAATAGTAATCTAACATTCTTGCCTTGAAATATATATTAGGAAGGTTCTTTGCAAAAGCTGTATATCATAATAATAAGAGGAGAGAGAGAGAGAGACAAAACTAGGGCAACATTCTTATGTTTTGTTTGGGCAACTGGGCCTGCTGGTCTTTTGGGCCTTGGTTTCCTTGGTCCTTTTAGCTTTGGGCTAACTTTCTTTGGGCCAGTGTACCTTTCCTCTTCTTAATACAATATTTAATTCTAACTTCACAAAAAAAAAAAAAAAAAAAAAAAAGAAAAAAAAAAAAAGAAGTAGGGCAAGATAACTTTGGAGTACCCGAAGTTACAATGAAATGTCATAAAAAAAGGCGTTTTAAAACCTCTATTTAAACAAGAAAAAACTCAGTTGCATTTCATACAAACCTCTTCCCTAAACAAAAATTCTGTTGTAACTCAAGACTCTCTCTTCCTCTCTATTCAGCCTCGTGCTCCTCTTCTTACTCACCTTTCATGCCTCATAACTTTTCTCAACACCTAGCTAGATACAACTATGTTCAAGGACAAAGATTGCTTCATTGTCAGACCCCAAAAACGATTAAAGTTGGCTTTTAGAGAAATATACTTCATAGTTTCTTTGTCCAAGAAGGCTTTCAAGAACACTCCAATTAATGCTCACCAAAGTTATTCATAGTCCCACAGTCCACAGTTTAGTAATCGCGCTCGATTTTCAAGCTCGTTTATTAAACGACCTAGAATAAAGTGAACAAGCCCATTAACTTATCAAGTTCATATAAATATAACTTTGATCCAACTCATGTCATTTTACTATAAAGGCCTGTTGTAATTCTTTAGCCCATCATCCAAATAAAATTTTATCTCAGCCGTTAGATCCTAATAATTCATGTTGGCCATTGGTTTGCTTTTAACTCGAGATAAGATCATAAAAATGAACACTATGTCTAAGTCGTCTCATCACCAGTGTGATAAGTCCTCTTCAGCTCCACCGCATAATCCGTCGGCAGCGGCAGCGCTCTACATGCTACACATCTCTCTATCTCTCTTAAACCGATCTGAAGGTGGAGCAATGGACCATATATATGTGGATCGAATTGCTAAAAACTGGTAAGGTTTGATTTCATCTTGAAAACTTGTTATGTATTTCGTTTTTTCTCTTTCTGGTCGGAGATGGTGATCGGATTTCATGAAAGTAACACTGTGATTTCTTTTATTTAGCTAAGAATGAAATGGAGCTGAGACGAGTCCGGTCCAAGCTCGGCTAAGCCAAGCTCTTATAGAGTTTGTGGTTGAAGAATTCAAAGATGCAAGAATTATCATACTTCTGGTATGTGCAGCATGGCCTTAAAGAAAAGAAGGATGGTATGATGGAGGAAGTGTCATTCATAGTATTTGAGAATACCACATTCAATAGCTAGCTATGGCTTTTGTGTAATTTCTGATATTGTAACATTCAGAAATTACTTACAAGAAGAGAGAAGCTATTGAGTGTGGTATTATCAAACCCTATGAAGATTCAAATGATGCAGTAGTAGCATGTTGAAGGTCTAATCCATCCGTATAATTTTTCCTCTTTGATGACAGTTCTGCGTTGGGCAGGTACTAACCCTCGTGTACTCTTCTCACTACCCTATAGGGTCAAGAGTTGCAAATTTTTTACTTCTACTATCTATATCTATATCTATATATGTGTGTGTGTGTTTAACAAACCCTCCTCAATTTATCTAAAATTGTAAATTACCTCATATTTGCAGCTAAAGTTGGAATTTTGGCTACAGAGCTAATTTACACCTTTTGATTAATTGAGGCATGTTTGTTGTCAAAATAGTTTAAGTACGTGGACATTTTGTAACTTTTTGATAATACAGAAGCGTTTACTGCAATTTGGCCAAAAGTTAAACACAATTTCAAAATTCATTTTTTTGTTATACGGGTTTAAAACAAAACTTTAATCTAATTTATGCCATCTAATCCAAATCAAATGCAAACATAAATGTTTCTCACCAAAAAGTTTGAAAAAGCTCTAAACTTGACTCTTCCATTTCTTAGATCCAAAGGAAAATTTTAATTTGAAATTGTGAAATGAATATCATCTATAAAAGTTGGCCTAAAAGAACATGGTATTCTTTTTCTGTCGTATTAGGGAAAGTGAAGTATAAAAATGTATTAAGGTAGATGAAATTACCAACAGCATCTGCAGGAGGAAAATGCAAGAATGCCCACTAAGTAGATGCATTTCAGGAGATACATCATACTGATGGAAAATGATAAAAACATAATGTGGCATTTGTTGAACTAAACACTTAAAAAGGAAATAGGCTCTATCTTATGATTACTGTGTAAAAGTATTGGAGTCGTCGAAAAATCGATTTGGGCATCGTTGCATTTACTCTTAGACTGACAACTTGCTCTCTTTCAGTGGTGGTGTGTTAGAGCCCGCTTGGCATGCGCTTTGTTTTAGGCGTTTTGTTTTGGCAAGCGATGAAACTCATGCACAGACCACCAATAAATTCTTGATTGCTGACCATGGTTATCACATTGAATGGCTTAAAAGTAGATCGGCTTGATATTAAGACAAATACTGATAAGTGAAGTTTTTGAAGTATACACTATTTATTATCAGTTTGTATCATTTTGACATAGTTTTTGAATGTTTTCATTACCAATGAAGCAAAATTTGATGATAGTCACTCACCGGGAATAGGTGCAATATCATCCCCTGATGAAGAACCCATGCAAGTGCGAGCTTTGCAGGGGTGCATCCGTGCTTAATTTTTAGCCAACGCTTCGATTCGAATATAAACAATCTTGTTCTTCTCAAAGTTTTCCCCTGTAAACCTAGGATTTATTTGCTGATAGAAAGAAAGATTTGTCATTCATACACCAATTTTTGTTCTAATAAGGGAAAAGAGGAAATGCCATAGGATAAGTTTAGATCATAAAGAAGCTCCAGTTTGTACCAACAAACTCTTTGAAGACGCACTTTCCACAACTCCCTTGCGACCCGAAAAATCCACGAACAACAGGGCTGTACGAAACTATCTCGATTCCAAGTTCCCTGATGATCAATACATATTAAACAACCTATAAAGATAAAAGGGAAAACAAAGAAATTTGGAAGAATATTCAGTGCGTAAAAAAATATTTTTTGTATTTTCTAGTGTTTAGCAGTTGTAAATTATTTAGGAAGAAAAAAAAAATTAAAATCTAACAAAAAATAACTTTTTGATCAACTTTTCACAAACTCCACTTAAACCTTAGCCAAACAACAAAAATCAAAAATAAAAAAATAAAAAAAAATGTATTTTAACTGAAAAAAAGAAAATATTTACCAAAAAAATATTTTAGGTTTGAAACTCTAAAAAAACAGAACTGCTAAAAGATTAGATTCTAACTACGAAGGAAAAATCCTATATTCAGTCAAAGGAGATTGAAGTACTTTAAATGCCAAATAAGGTACCTTCTCCAGGTATACTTTTCTTTTTAAGACAATTAATTTGGAAAATAAAGAGTCACATGTTATCCGGCATTTCAAATTGACAAATTGTTAAGAAGGAAAAGAAAAATAAAGAGTAATATGTTATTGGACATTACAGCTCGACAAATTGTTAAGCAAGAAAAGTAACTAGCCGGGCCTAAACTCGAAATTTCTCCTATGTCACAGGATGTTCTATGCCAATACAATAATTTTATATATGTTGAGGGTGAAATCTACGCGGTCCAATACGACGCCGTTTTCCTACAAAGAAGAGAATAAAAGATCGATGAATTTGCACCAGTGTGGTGTCTGCCAAGAGCTCTCCGATGATCAAGTCAGTTGCCAGAGGTCTAAAAGAAATGCAGGATTTAATAATAGTTTTTTTGTCGTATCATTATTGACTAGTAGGATCTCATTCTTATAGTCGCTCTCCTTCTGTTCATTTGCGAGATCAGAGGAGATCTGCTTGTGCGAGATCAGAGGAGATCCGCTTATATGAGATCAGAGGAAATCTGTTTGTTGCTAGATTTGTTGGTGATATGATTTAACCCTTTTGACTTCCTCCAATTGTGTCAGGGTTATCCTTACCCTATTGAACCACGTCTTGATAATGAAATCTAATCATTCTTATTCAATGGAAATATGAGGTCTGGCGGCTGGTCCACCACTTAGTTGCATCTATCGTTAAGTCAAGGTAGGTTAGGTTTATTTTTCTCTATCAATTGCCCCCTATTCCCAAGCTTACTTGTCTAGCTTTGGGAGTATAAATATATATATTTTTTTACCCTTAACATTGTTCCCTTGGGAATAGTGTCGCGGGTACTGTTCCCTCGGGAATAGAATATATATATTTTTTTTTGCTTGCCCTTGGCACTGTTCCCTCGGGAAGAGTGCCGCGGGCACTGTTCCCATGGGAATAGTATGTTTTTTTTTTTTTTTTTTTTTTTTACCCTTGGATAATGTTTTCGTAGGTACTCTTTCCTTGGATAATCTTCCCTTGGGTATGCTTCCCTAAGATAATGTTACCGTGAGTAATCTTCCCTTGGGTACTCTTCCTTTGGGTAATGTTACCGTGGGTAGTCTTCCTTTGGGTAACGTTCCCGTGGGTATTCTTCTCTTGGGTACTCTTCCTTTGGGTTTGTTACCGTGGGTAATCTTCCCTTGGGTAATCGTCCCTTTAGTACAGGATATTTATTTACTATCCCTTATAGTATGAAGATATTGATTACTAACCCGGGTCCTTTTAGTGTAGGACATTTATTTACTATCCCTTATAGTACGGGGATATCGATTACGGAATTCATTCAACCCGGGTCTTTTTAGTACATGACATTTATTTACTATCCCTTATATTATAAGGATATTGATTACGGGATTCATTCAGCCCGGATCCTTTTAGGACATTTATTTATTATCCCTTATAGTACGGGGATATTGATTACGGGATTCATTCAACCCGAGTCCTTTTAATATATGACATTTATTTACTATCCTTTATATTACGAAGATATTGACTACATGATTCATTCAGCCCGGATCCTTTTAGGAAATTTATTTACTATCCCTTATATATAGTATGGGGATATTGATTACAGAATTCATTCAGTCCGGATCATTTTAGTACATGACATTTATTTACTATCCCTTATAGTACGGGGATATTGATTACGGAATTCATTTAGCCTGGGTCCGTTTAGTATATGACATTTATTTACATCCCTTGTAATACGGAGATATTGCAAGTATACAGATAACTGACCAAGAGTTAATGCAACTGAAATGAATTTTATTAAAGACCATCATTGCCTCAAGGCTTAGTGAAAATAAGGTAACACGTGAATGAGCTACCCTCCGTTTAAAATAATTAACTGAGATGCCCCCAGTCTTTATTTAAATGACTTGATAAGACTAATTCCAGCTGTGAGACAATTGTTAGTCGGTATACTTATCTGAATCCTTCTTACAATATATCCTATCGCTTTTGCTGAAGAATGATCTCTTATAGCCGGTATCCTTTTCATCCCTGGTGAGAGGGCCTGACCTCTTTTTGTCCTCTCCTTCCTTTCCCTTCTGTGCATCCATGGCGTCTTTAGCGTTAATGTGCTTCTGCTCCCTAACCAACAACTCCGCTATGCTGGTGGGAGGTTCTTTAGATAAGGCAAACAAGAATCTGGAGGTTTGGAGTCCTCCTATGAAAGCGGTCAAAGCTACCTTGTCGTCCACCTCTTTTACCTATTTTTATATATTTTCTTGTCTAAGAGAGATTAAATTATTTATTTTCTTTATATATTTCCTTATCTAATTAGATTTTATTTTATTAAAAAAATTCATAATAAATAGATAATTTGAGTTTTATAGAAATTTTTCTAAACACCTTATATTAATTGAAAAAATAAAAACAAATACTAAATAGGTCATTTTAAAAATTATTTTGAAATTAATTAATAAATATTTTTTAAAGTTGTAAATAATTACTGAAATACCAAACTCTTTACATTTCAATAATATAATATAGACGTAGAGGTGGATCTAAGAGTTATAAATTATGTGTGTGTATATATATATCAATTAAATCATGCTGATTTCTTTCAAATGAATAGCATATATTTTATACGGAAAATAAAATACTGCTTACCATATAGACCAATAATCTCAGATGTTCAACAAGTTTGGCACCAATTTGACCCTCGAATTGTTTAGGATAAACATTGTCTTTGGTGACGTCCAATAAGTACTCAACCATTTTCCTTTCACCGTATATAGCAGCTGTTGGGAAACCTGCAAGTTTTAAAAACTTTTCGAGGGATTTAAATTCATAGATCTTGATTCATCACATGGAGTCAAGTTTTATGTAAAAATAAAATATGATGTATCATTCAATTAAAAGATTGAATACTTACATCAAGGTTTGAGTAAACCTTAGATCTCTCCTCTAAAGTGAATGTTCTTACTTATTGTAGATCCCTTAGCAAGATGCATTCTCCTTGGATCTCCATCTTCTTGGTAATTGTTTTGCCTTTAGGAATCACTCATATGCCTCTATGAATGACCTTGGAAAACTAGGCTTGTGGGAGCCTCCATTAGATGAGAACACTAACCCTAATTTTCTAGAGAGAGAAAATTTATTCATTTTTCCTTCACATAAAAATCACCCCTAAAATATACATAGACCATGTATATTTATAGGCAA